TGGTTGCTAGGTGACATGATGTACGCCGGGGTGGAGGGGACACTAGACCGTCCAAATTCACAGACTCTTTTTTTTCCGGTCTTCCCGGTCTACCGAGGACCCGGCCTGCCTCGACCGGGTAGTCTGGGTCCTCTGGAGGACCCGGCCTGTCGTTTTGGACACAGCTTATGTTTGCCAGCTCAGCTAATTCAAATGATAAGAACTCATTTCACTCAGTGTTTATATATATATATAACATTATATTACTACAATATAACGTAATATATATCAATGGTTTCACTGCTGAATAAAGAAAACACTCAGTTGTTCCTCTGAACGTAAAGTTCTGAACATAAAGTTCTGAACATAAAGTTCTGAACGTAAAGTTCTTTACTGAAGTTGTGTAACAAGCTCACCTTGATCTGCACCAGGAAGTCCCTCAGGTGCTCCTTGAAGGCGGGAATGTCCTGATTTAAACTGAAGAGGCCCGTCACAAACACCTTCACCTGCGCACTAACACACACACACACGGTTCAGTCAGAGCTAACAGCAGCACTCGTCACTGGGTCAGCTCAGGTCAGCTCAGGTCAGCACTCACTCCTGCAGGTGGGGGAAGGCAGTCTTCAGTAAGTTGGCCACGTACTCCTGGATGAACACCTGGTTGCTGGCAGGGTTGGCAGGGTTTAGAGTCGTGGTGATTTTTCCTTCTTCTACCAGGTTGAACATGTAGGCCAAGATGGATGCATGCATAGTGAGGCCTGCAGGACACACAGCAGTTAGGGTTAGGTTAGGGGTTAGAGGGGTTAGGACAACATGCTCACTCCTCTGACATCACACTTACAGTGATTTCTCTGCACKTTATTCATATGAACATCAACAAACTGAGTAAAACCTTTAAAATATCAGCTTCAGAGCTGTTATCTGCTGAATACTGGTTTTATAAGAGTCATTGGGAGCTGCGTGTTTGCACTCACCAGCAGTGTGAGACGTGTCTGTGACCACAGAGAAGATGTGCTGCAGGATATCACAGAAATATGTCTGGTAGAAGCTCTGAGCTGCTGCTTCCTCCTGAGCAACGTTCTGCAGCAGGGTGTATAAAATCTGTAGACCTGGTGAGGACACAAATCACACACACACACAAATCACACACAAATCACACTTCTGCTTCAACTTCAGTCCATCTTTAAACACTTCCAACATCCCAATCTGTAAAACTCTACATGTTACTACATCCTGCTGTAGAAAACATGTCCATGTCAGTCTATCCAACTGTCTGTTCAAGAAACAAACAGGAACCTGGATGTTTTTATTTATATGTACAGTGTTTGATAGGTTCAGTTCATCAGTTAGTAACACAGTCTGAGAGGAAACATCCGACTTTTCATGTGTGTAAAAGTTAAAGCAGGCAGGAACCTGCAGCAGGTCTGATTCCAAACTGGGATTCTGTTTTTTATTACATGTGTTATTACATGTGATATTACGTGTTTTATTACATGTTTTACGACATGTTTTATTACATGTGTTATTACATGTTTTATTACGTGTTTTATTACGTGTTTTATTACGTGTGTTATTACATGTTTTATTACGTGTTTTATTACGTGTTTTATTACATGTG